AAGATTTAGGGAAGACTTCCTGTTAAAGATGATGGGTTGAACACATACATTCATAGATAGCAAAAAAAAAAAAAAAAAAAAAGCTAATGTAGTCTTGATTCCAAAATAGGAAAATATGAAAAATCAAATCACAGGCCCCTTTCACTTATGAATGTCATTGCATGCATCCTAAAGTAATAGCTAACCGTACTCATTAGGATGGGGTAAGTTTTGCTATGGTAACAAGCAACCCCCAAACTTCAATGGCCTCATACAATAAGGTTCAGTTTCCAGTCATAGTGTATTTTCATCTCAGGTCAGCTGGAGGCTCTGCTCTGTGTCATCCTCACTCTGATCTCAAGCTGAGAGAACAGTGACCACAAAGAAAACAGAGCATTGCTTGTCACTGTTTCGGAGAGAAAGAGAGAATGAATCGGAACTCACACTTGCTCTTAAAGCTTTCACCAGGAAACCAACACATACCACTTTTTCTCTCTTTTCATTGACCAGAACAAGTCATGTTAATGTCCCTGGAATAGTAGAGTAAAGCTTTAATGCAAAAAGTGACACCTTGGAGCTTCACAAATAGAAGTATCATCTCATTTCTGTTGTGGCAGAATCAAATGACACTTGACCTTATTATCATAGCTCAAGGTGGTGTTCACACTCTTGTCAACACAAGCTATTAAACTGTAAAGTCAATTAGAAAGGGATACCCCTAAGATTAAAGAAAGTCTTGCAGGGCCAGCCCTGTGGCCCAGTGGTTGGGTTTGCACACTCTGCTTTGGTGACCCAGGGTTTTGCCAGTTCAGATCCTGCATGCAGACCTAGCACCACTTGTCAGGCCACGCTGAGGCAGTGTCCCACACGCCACAACTAGAAGGACCCACAACTAAAATATACACCTATGTACTGGGGGGGCGGTGCTTGGGGGAGAAGAAGGAAAAATTTTTTTAAAAATTGATTTAAAGGTAATTAAATCTTGACTAATTATTCTGGCGAAAAATATGTACTCTCCATGTATTTATTATACTAGTTTGGGCTTGCTTGTCATATTGTACAAAACCAATTAAAACCTTGAGAGGCCAAAGGCTGAAGAAGTAGAAGAACAAAACAAAGACATATATCTGGACGGGCATATTTATAGCTTCATATATACAGGTGTCAAAGTGTGGATGATCCACAAAGAGAGGAATACAAGGGGAAAATCAATAGAACTTGTCATGAACATTCTAGAAGCTAACATCTCAACCAATAAAGAGATTTTCAATGTTTTAACGCTTTGTACAAATATCAAGACTCCTCCATAGGTCATATTTTCCTGGACAAATACTGTTACCTCTTTCAAATGTATGTTATCAGTCCTCTTTCTCCAAGCACACTTTTTTTTTTTTAATGTGGGATGCCTACCACAGCATGGCTTGCCACGCGGTGCCATGTCTGCACCCAGGATCCGAACCGGCGAACACCGGCCCCCGAAGCAGAACACGTGCACTTAACCGCTGCGCCACTGTGCCAGCCCCTCCAAGCACCCTTTTTTAAGTTTGCTAACCTTTGACTACGGGGTTCACATTCCTTCCCCTACAGAATGTCACAAGGTCTCAATTTTCCTACTTGAGTGTGAGACAGCCCCTCCTCCCTTGCAGACCACAAGGCAGTTTCTGAAAGGAGTCTTAGACCGTACTTATGTGTAAAGAATTTTGATGTAAGGAACTGGAATGTGGTGGTGCCAGCCTCTAGCTGGTGAGCACTCTCCTCCTTCCTTCTGGAATGTCGTCTTATAAAGGCAAGTCTCATTTTAAAATTCTGAGTCTGTGGTCTTTATTCGAAACAATAATCATATATAAAGAATCTTGTTTGCGGGGGCCGGCCCCGTGGCTGAGTGGTGAAGTTCGTGTGCTGTGCTGCGGTGGCCCAGGGTTTTGCCAGTTCGAATCCTGGGCGCAGACAGGGCACCACTCATCAAACCATGCTGAGGCGGCATCCCACATGCCACAACTAGAGGAACCCACAAGTGAAAATACACAACTATGTACCGGCAGACTTTGGGAGAAAAAGAAAAAATAAAATCTTTAAAAAAAAGTGTCTAAAGAATCTCTTTTGCAAAAATACTTGAGGACTTGATATTTTCCCCAAAAGCCTTCCTTTATATTCCAGATATCCTCTTTTAAAGTCTAGTCCTCCTCTTTGATTTTCTTTTCCAATTAACTGTCAGATCCCCACTTTTCAATGGCTTTGGGTACATTGTGTGAAGTTTTCCAGCATCACTTTTACTGTTTCATAAAGTATTGCATCTTCTGTAAGACTTGCAATTTCACTTTGCAGTGAATGTGCACCGTACTGTCCAGTGACTAGACAAAGATGTCAACAGAGAAATGCTAATGTTAAGCAGGGTGAGATGTTTGAGTCAAAAATAATTTTTTTCTTCTTTTTCTCCCCAAAGTCCCCCAGTACATAGTTGCATATTCCAGTTGTGAGTGCCTCTAGTTGTGCTATGTGGGACGCCGCCGCAGCATGGCCTGATGAGCAGTGCTAGGTCTGCACCCAGGATCTGAACCAACGAAACCTCAGGTCGCCAAAGCAGAGTGTGCAAACTTAACCACTCAGCCACGCGGCTGGCCCTCAAAAATAATTTTTAACTAGTCAGTTTATTATTGAATTAACTTCACGTTATGACAACTTTTGCTTCTTTATATGGGCTGAATTGTGTCCTCCTCCTTCAAATTCATATGCTTAAATCCTAATCCCCATACTTCAGAATATGACTCTATTTGGAGACAGGATCTTTAAAGACGTAATTAAGTTAAAATGAGGTCAGTAGTCTGGGCCCTAATCCAATATGACTGGTGTCCTTACAAGAAAAAATTTGAACATAGATGTGTACAGAGGGAAGACAATGTAAAGATACAGAGAGAAGATGGCCATCTACAAGCCAAAAAGAGAGGCCAGGAGCAGCTCCTTCCCTCATGACCCTCAGAACGAACCAATCCTGCTGACACTGTGCTATCGCACTTCTACCATCCACAACTATGAGAAAATACATTCCTGTTGTTTAGGCCACCCAGTCTGTAGTACCGTTATGGCAGCCCAGCAAACTAACACACATCATACTCAAACTACCTCATCACCGTGAAACTCGGACCATGAAACTGTGTGAGGGAGCTAGGGAATCACACAGTAAGCCACCTGGGGAGGGTGAGGTCAGGATAGATGTCCCAGAAGAAGTGACAGCTAAACTGAACGTTTAAGTAATAGGTATTAGTCTACACAGTGGGCTAAGGGTCAGAATGTTCCAGGTAGAAAGGACCAGAGATGAAAAGACTAACTTCCAACATGCCTCCCTCCATCTACTTTTTCTCTCTCTAAGCCATTCTCTCCACTGCACCAGAGTTGTGTTTCCTTTTCTTTTTTGTTTTTTTTAAAGATTGGCCCTGAGCTAACATCTGTTGCCAATCTTTTTTTTCCTCTTCTTCTCCCCATAAGCCCCCCAGTACATAGTTGTATATGATAGTTGTAGGTCCTTCTGGTTCTACTACGTGGGACACCGCCTCAGCGTGGCTTGACCCACACCCAGGATCCAAACCGGGGAAACCCTGGGCTGTGGAAGTGGAGCATGCAAACTTAACGACTAGGTCACAGAGCCGGCCCCACCCAGCGTTGCTTCTAAGACACAAATCATGCCATGTTATTTCTGCTCAAAACTCTTCCATGGCTTCCCGCTGCATTCAGGATAAAAAAAATAAATCTTAACCCACTCTCCTAGGCCCTCTATCACCAAGCCCCTACCTAATTCATGCCATTCCCCACCCCCTACCCAGTTCACTTTCTGTTTCTGTCACACAAGCCTTCTTCAGCTTTTTCCAACAGCTTCTTCCAGTTTCAAGGCTTTTCCCCCAAGCTATCCAATTTGCATGAAACACTATTCCCACTTTCACCTCTAGTAACTAATTAATCCTCATTCATGCTTCAGATCTCAGCTGATTAAAACAGTAGGCTTCTTGCTCTGCACTTTTTTATAGCACTTCTTCCAACTGTAATTAAACTAATTATGCAATTACCTTAAAGTGTGTCTTCTCAATTAGACTGTAGGGACCTATGTGTCTTGGTTATAGCTATATCCCCAGGGTCTAGCATTGTGCCTAACCCATATAAGTACCATTTGTTGAATGAAGAGCAACAGTTCAACTGGAAAACTAAAATGAGTCTTGAGTGACTCAAGTTTAGAGGGATTTTCCAAAAACCCTCCTAAAACCTCAGTGGCCTCTGGTGGGACTAGAAAGTATGTAAGATAGGACCTTAGGCGCGGAGTGACAAGCTCTGGGCTGACTCTGCCTCCTTCAGGTAGCCTATGCACACTGTAGTGTCTGACGCAAAAAGCCCCTGTCCTTACTTTTCCTGATTTTGCAAGCTGGGACTCCCAAACTTCTTTTTTTTTAAAGATTGGCACCTGAGCTACCAACTGTTGCCAATCTTGTTTTTTTTTTCTCCCCAAAGTCCCCCAGTACATAGTTGTATATTCTAGTTGTGAGTGCCTCTGGGTGTGCTATGTGGGATGCTGCCTCAGCATGGCCTGATGAGCGGTGCCATGTCCAGGACCGGGATGTGAACTGGCAAAACCCCGCATTGCAGAAGCGGAGCACGCAAACTTAACCACTCCACCACGTGGCTGGCCCCCCAAACTTATGAATATAAGTTTTTCTGGCTCTTCATATTCCTAAACCTAGGCACTGATCAGGATAGGGGGAGGAGGCAAGGTGACCAATTTTTGGCATTCTCCCTAACACATCTCTGGGGCAGCATGCAGTGCTAAGAGCTGCCAGTAGATGGCGCTATTCCACTAATGTATCTAATTCAGGAAAGCAGAAATAGAATTCGGGTACATCCTGGCTCCTCCAGAATCAAGAAACATAAGGAAGTTTTTGGGCTCAAGGCAGGTCACACCCAGCATCCCTAGGTCTGGCATTCCTAAAGGAAATAGTTTCCATCCCAGGTCAGACCAGACAAATAAGACAAGCAAGCAGTGTGGATGCTCCAGTGGCTTTATTAACTCCCTCTTTCTGAGGGTGGCAGGACCTCATAGCTAGAGGGCTGGAAAGGAAGCCAGGAAGCTGTGGTCTCAGTATGGGTCATTAAAGGGGTACAGAGGATGCCCTGCATCTCTCGGGACCCTCTTCCCGTCCACCTGAAAAGAGAGAGACAAATGACTCCCTTAGGAAGAACTGACATTTCAAAGAGGCAAAGTATCTTTCCCTGAATCTTCCTGAACAACCTCACCTGTGTACAGCAGCATGTCAGATGGCAGTGACAGGGCCTTGGCCTCAGAGAATGCCACACTATCAACAGCATTCCAGCACCAAATCCATAGCCTGGTATGTAGCTGACCTTGCCCTCTAAGAGTTTGCAATCTCAGCTGGAATAAGGAACTCTTTATTTCCCTATGTGTAGCAGGCTTCAACCCCACATCAATCCCCCCTAACAAGGTTGAGAATACCTTCTAAGCTCCCCTCACTTATTTCATTTCCTGAGAACTTGCTATGTGTCAGGAACTGGGATCATTTCACAGACAGGAAGCTGAGGCTTGGAGAAGTTAAAAAAGTCATTCCAGTTTACAAGGTATCAAGAGGCAGGACTGGACTCAGAAGCTATACGCCTTATCCCTGAGCCATACTACTTCTCCGAGCTCAATCAAAAAGAGCCCATTGCATCCAGGACAGCAATCCTACCAACAACATCCTGCCCCTCCTCTGACCAGCAAGGTCAAGGCCAGACTTGGCCCAGAATCCCGCCCCAAATCTCACATTCCCTGACTCTGGGGGGTGATACATACTCACCATAAGCATGGGCACAATGTATCGCCAATTTTTATTTAGGGCATCTAGCTGCTTCATCTCTTCTGGGCTAAAGGTGAAGTCAAACACCTGGGGATCGGGAATGGGGGTCAGGAAAGCCAGCTTTGTGAATGAAAGTAAGGGTTCCCAAACAGTGCCTTAGCCAGGTAGAGTTGGGGCCAGACTGCGTCCCAATGGGCTAAAGAAGACAGGACCCATCACCAAGTACCTGGATGTTCTGAAGGATACGGGAAGGTGTGACACTCTTGGGGATGCAGATCACTTTCCGCTGGACCTGCCATCTAAAGCGGGGCATTGAGGTAGATGAGGAAGAGGAGTCAGTATTCATAAGCATGGTTTTGTCCTCTGTGCAACCTTCCCTAGGCTCCTAGAGTCCCTGAGCCCCAATGGAATGGGGAATATGCCTCAGAGTGGCCTTCCCCCAGATTCACACGGCAAGATTCTCAGCATTATCCAGGCACTTGGATAAAGAACACTTCAGCTCTTGCCTCCCAACCCAGGAGCCCTCTCCCCGACCTGACCTCCTTTCCCCAAGACTGCCCGCACCTGAGCAAGATCTGAGCTGGAGACCGGCCATACTTTTCAGCCAATGCCAGGACCACTGGCTCCTCAAGCAGGACAGGCTCATTAGGATCACGCCAAGCGCGATCAGAGGAGCCCAGAGGGCTATAAGCAGTCACCTCCAGGCCGCGTGCTTGGCAGTGGGCAATCAGCTCGTTCTGAGCCAGGTATGGGTGGCATTCCACCTAAGCCAAGAAAGAACTCATCACCATGGGGTGGCCACACCCAGCTTGCCTGGCCCCTACCAGACATGCAAGTACAGACCAACCCTGCATTGCTGACACTCCTACTTCTCCTGAGCCTGCTTTTCTCATTCTCCAGTTTCCACTGTCTGTTTTATTCTCTTCCCACATTTCAATGCCCTTCTTTTATTTTTTTTTTTTTGAGGAAGATTAGCCCTGAGCTAACTGCTGCCAATCCTCCTCTTTTTGCTGAGGAAGATTGGCCCTGAGCTAACATCTGTTATCTTCCTCCACTTTATATGTGGGACACCTACCACAGCATGGCTTGCCAAGTGGTGCCACGTCCGCACCCGGGATCTGAACCAGCGAACCCCAGGCTGCCGAAGCAGAACGTGTGCACTTAACCGCTGCGCCACTGGGCCAGCCCCTCAATGCCCTTCTTTATGCAGAGGATTTCTCCACCAACACTTCTGACAATTTGCTAGCCATCTCCATGAAGCAGACCCATCATCTGCTCACTCATGCTCTTGCTCATACACCCCTCCCCCAAACCAACTGATCTGCTTTGCTGTGCTCACCTGCAGGACAGCTGGGCGCACAGAGGCCACACTGAGCACATCATCAATCTGCCGACTGTTGAAGTTGGACAGGCCCAGCGCCCGCACTAACCCCTTAGCCACCAGTGTCTCCATAGCCTTCCAGGTCTCCTTGTAGTGGGTGGAGTCATAGCGGACGGTCCCATCAGCATTCTTAGGGAAGGGGTTGTCTCCCTGCCTAAGTGAAAGACAGTCCCCCAAGAGTGGGCACAAATGCCAGGCTCCTGCCTTACCTGCCCACGCAGCTACTCTATGTCCCATACTCCAAGCCTGGGAAGGGCAATGGACCAAGAATGAGAAACAAGCACGGTTTTTTACCCTTCCAGATCATGACCCAGGTGTTAACTCTATATGGAATGCCCATTCCCCCTCTTCTCCTTCCTAGACACAGATTATATCACCTTTCCTCTGAGAAGTCTTTGTTAACTCCTTCCTCCTCAAGGGGCTACGTGCCGTGGCCGAGGTCTTCCAGCACAGGGCACAGAGCTGATGGTAGGCTCCTCTCACCCCCTTTGCTGGAGCTTATTCTTTACTGCGACTCCAGGGCCTTGCTCAGCAGAAGCTAGTATGTCTCCTGAATTAATAAAGGGAGCAGGAGGGACCACTCATGCACACCCTAGGATACACACCCTGTGAAGCTGTCCTCCTTTTTTCTGTAGCTAAACTCCTGGCTTCTGCAGTAGAAAAGGCTGAGATCCTATGGCAAGGTCCTTAGCTTGCCACACAGATAAGTGTTCCTCTCCTGCTCTGCCACTGTGACTTATGGTAAGTTACTAACACAACTCCTCCAACCCCCACCTCCCTGGATGAAGGCCCTGGCAAGGCTCACTCAAAGGCAAAAGGCCAGTGCATCAGGTAGAGGTCCAAATACTCCAGCTGGAGGTCAGCCAGTGTCTTCCGGAGGGCAGGCTCCACATCCTCAGGGTGGTGCTTAGTGTTCCACAGCTTGGAAGTCACAAACAGCTCCTCCCGAGGTACTGCCTGGTACAGGGGGCAGGACCCATTGTGAGAAGAGCCATGGGTACCCAGTCTCACCCACCCTCACCTCTGGGAGAAGAATCAGAAGGAAACTGATGCCAGATCCCTCCAGCCGCAGCCCCAGCCTCTGAGCTCTCTCACCCCACTCATCTGTAGCTCTAGTCCTCACCTTGCCAGGTCCCACATTCTCCTTCAGGGCCTCCCCGATCTCGGTCTCATTGCCGTAGACAGCAGCACAGTCAATGTGGCGGTAGCCTACACTCAGAGCATACTTAATAGCTGCTTGTACCTGCCAGGTGGGAGAAGCAGAGGTTTCAGTTCTGTTGGTCTGGCCCAGAAACTGCCCTCCTGTGGGTCATTAATGTGGGCAGGGAGCAGGAATATACGACTGCAGTCATCTACACAGTGGGGGTGAGAAGATGGAAAACGCTTCTAGTCTAGGGGACCAGAAGCCTCTTCAGAGTCCCCAAATCCTTTGTCTTCACCCCACTAACCTCCAGGGTTCCTTCCTACGCAAGCAGTGTCAGCAGGGCCCAGCAATAAACTAACACTGCTTTCTTAGCTAGATGCTCAGAAGATGGATGGATACATTGACAGAGGTCAGAAGTATAGGTCACGGAGATAGGTCCCCCCACCCTGAGAAGCTGGTTAGGGAAACGTGATACACAGGTAAGTAATTCGTAGGCCAAGGCTATGCAGAGAGACCCTCAGGGAGCCATACAGACCAAGTGAGCTCTGGAAGCTCAAGTGAGCAGAAGAGGTGAGAGGGGGAGAAAACTAAGGAAGGCAGAGAAGTGAGATGGAAGCTGGGCTCAGAGCCCTCTGTCAGGAGAGAAGAAAGCGGACATCAAGTAGGAGGACAGGTCAGTCCATTTGCTAAAAACCAGACTAGAAACATGATCTCAGAAGTAGAACCAAGGGTGCCAGGCCCTTGACATTCCAGATCCTCATCTAGGTGCAAATCTTAGCATCCACACGTACTCGCCTCACCTCTGCCCCTAGCCCTGCTGCCCCCGTCATCACCCTGGTTCTGGCCTCCACCCACTGCCTTCATCTAGCTCCTGGACTTGTCCTGGGCCATGTCAGTGCCTGCCTGGAGCACAAAGACCCCGGCTCCAGGGCCCTAGGCAGCTGTAGGAAGAAAAGTAAGGGGAAAAAAGGCAGAGGTTGTCCACCCACACCACAAATACCAACTTAAATCCCTGAGAGAAGAGGCTGTTCTCCATGCCGGAGGCCCTCCCAAACTTAATCCCCAAACTTCTCTAAACTCAGACTCAGATTTCTAAGGAACAAGGAAGCAGCCCTGGGGAGATGCCTCACTCCAGGTGGGAGCTTGATCTTTAGTAGCGTCGACCCTAGGAAAGCAGGTCTCCATTCCTAGGCTCCCCTAGGCTGGTAGGGTCTACACCAGGGGGCAATAAACTCCAGCTAGCAGCTACCTTTGGTTTTTTTCAGCCCTTGAGCTAAGCACAATTTTCACATCTTTTAAGTGGTTACATAAGTACATAATCGCCTCCATTTTGCAACTTGTCCAGCAAAATCTAAACTATTAACCATCTGGTTCTTTAAGAAAAAGTTTGCTAACACAGTTGACCTAGTTATTCTTCAAACCCTGACACCTGCGGCATGCCTACCTCCGGACTGAGCACTAGGGAGACGCTCTCCCCAGGAGCCCAGTGTGGGATACATGATCACAGCAGAGGGTGCTAAGTACCATATGAGGGGTCAGCACAGGGCCGGGCACAGAGGCACTCAGTGTAGATCCAGTTAGAGGAAGGGGTCCTTTGCATGCCCTTGGCCCTGCTGGGCCACTCAGGCCCTCCTCTGAGTCAGCTGGGGAACCCAAGGCTCACTGCTGGTCCCTTCTTCCCTTGTTTCTTCCAACTGCCCTCCAGGCTCATCCCCTACCCAAAGTGGAGTATGGGGGTGGGGCTGCTAGGAAAAATGCAGGGACCCTCTCCCAAATACTACCTTTTCCCTTGTAGAGGTACAAGAAGCCCTTCTCCTCTTCCCCCATCCCTCACCTGGCCAGGCTCGCTCTTCCAGGTGCCCAGTCCAATCAGGGGCATCTTCTGCCCAGTGTGCAGGAGAACACAAGTCGCCATTGCCCCCTGAAACACAGATGGCAAGAGAATGGTGTGGCAGTCAGTGTTTCTGCTTGGGCCTCAGCTATCCACTGGTCAAGACTCCTGTAAAACATGGGTGGGAAAGGGGAACAGAGGTGACAGGAGAACAAAGATGCAGTTGCATGTATGTGCCTGTGAGCAGAAGCAACTGAGACAGGGTACCCAGAACCAACCAAAGCCAGTAGCTCCTGGACAAACACTAACTGGACCACCAGCCTAGCTGCCCTTCCTTCTACCAGGCTAAAGGTCTGTGTTAAAGAGCTCCAACACCTAAAAACAAAGGCAGAGTGTGTCTCCAAAAGTACCCAGACTTGATTACATAACGTCTCTAGCCAGGGTAAGACAGGAAAAGGTCAGTATGAACCAAAGCGAGACCAGGTGACAGAACAGGTTCAGGAAAGGGTCACTCCTCTGAGGAGGGAATGAGCATTCCCAGGAGGTTGTCAGAACTACAGAGTCTCTCTGAGTCCCTCTCACAGAGATCTGATCGGCCATGCTGCCAGGCCCAAGTGGGCTCTTATAAGAAAAGTATACCATTTTCTAGATGAAAAAACAGGCTCAGAGAGGTGAAGTTATTTGCCCCAAATCAACATCTAAGAAGTGGCAGAGGCAAAGATCCAAGGAGGAGCTAATGGAAAAAGGCAAGAAAAAGGCAGGTAAACACAGATCTATAAAATACACGTGGAATACCTCACAGTAAACACATGTACAGTGTGCTACAGAAAAGCAAGTGACTTCTGTAGGGCAAGGACCGGGGAACACTGACATTGGCTTTTAAGAATGAGATGGATTTTCCCAAGAGTTGAGGGGAAGGGGAACTAGACCCAGGACATCAATGCAGCAGAAAGCAGTAAATTACACGTACAAGAACATTTCCGACTGAACAAAGCATGTGAGCGATGGGAACAAGTGCCTTTGGAGAGCTAGGCAAATCAGAAGTCTCCAAATGGCCCAAGAATACTCATTCAGTCAGCAAATGATGAATGCTCCCGGCCTTGTGCCTGACCCAAGAGACATAGGTATTCAGAGTCCCTGCCCTCCTGGAGTTCACGGTCTGGTGCGGGGAGGATAGAGGATGTCGGCATAATGTATAAGAGATATGACCAAAATCTGCACAGGAGCTGCAAGAAAAGAGTAACCTGGTAGGATGGCTCCTTGGAGGTGACATCTGAGTCAAGTCAAGTCTTAATAAACAGGAGTCATCCAAGTGAAAAAATCCTTGCCATCCCAGGAGCAAATAATGTAGAAACAACCTTTTCCCTTGATCTCATCAGTACTACAAAGATCACTCTCGCAGCACTGGATTTCATTGCCAGCAGAGCTTTTATAAATATGACCTTTGTTTACAAGTTCTGAAAGGACATCAAGATTATTATGGTAGAGCAAGGGTAAGACAAGTAATGAACCAACACACCAAAGGTGTCATTCCTAATACTTCTCACTCAAGGAGAATTTTCCAGTCTAGTGTAACCTGATTATGCTAATTATGCTCTTTTCTGCTAAAACAGAAACAAAATGTTCAATGTGGGCAGCAAACCACAGATCAGTGAGGGCAATACTCTTTGTTACCAAACTTCCTAGGGATCAGGCAAGCATGTCTGGACTTCACAGGAGGAACTAGCCTGCCAGGTGCCACCAGGCTCTGTGACTGGTTTCCTGGGCTTGCTCCCCAAACAACTGACCTGTTGGCTTCTCCTCGATTTCCCAGCACACATGGGAGGGCTCTGAAATTACACCTGGGCTAAGAGCTTGAACAAAAACCTGGCCTAAGGGGAAAAGGAAGAAGAAACCCGATGCTCACTTCTCCCTTTTCTTTTGCTGGTGAAACTGAAAACCAAAAGGGCTGAGGCTTGGGGGCTGGGATCATAGAGGTAGGAACACCTAACAAAGACACGCAAAGAACAGAGCTCCAAAGGACGGAATGGAGAGGCCACAGCAGAGGACAGATGTTTTGTTCGAGGATAGTTAGTCGTCCTCTGCCAGCTCTTGACTTCCTCATCATCTGCCTGGGGCAACAGCTTTCCAGCCTAGCCCTGCATTAACAGGCTCTGAGCCTGTCAGGAACCTCCCAGCTAGACCTCAGGCAGCACTCAGAAACCCTCGTGTTATCTTGGGAGAGGTTCTAGATGTAAAAGAGAGAAGCTGAGGGTGTGGGAGAGGGGAGAAGAGGGGAGTATCAGGACTCAGGTTTTATCATTCTAACTCAATGCCTGCATTCCTTCTCGCTGGGGCTCAGTCTCCCCTTCTTCAGAGGAGGGCTCTATAGTTGCTGCCTGGATACAGGGAACTCGAAAACACAGGAAAAAGGGGAAGCACTATTTACGCGAGTGTCCCCTGGCTGCATGGGCCTTTCCTCTGCCTCCCATAAACGTTGGTACCCCTCAAGGTTCTGTCCCCAGTCCTCTTCTTACTCCCTAATTGAGCTCACGTCTTCAGTTACCACCGTAAGCACTGATTCTTCTGTATATTCAGCTCCCTCTGGACACCTCCACCAGTATGTCGCACAGGCATCTGAGACAACACGAGCAAAACTGTACTCATCAAATCCAGAAGCAGAGCACAGAGGAAACAGTTTAAGCTATGGGGTTGCACAGACCTGGCTTTGAATCTCATCCCCCCCCCCCTTTGAAGAAATACTATATCTAAAGTACTCTGCATAGTTCCTGATCCACGGTTTCTTTCTGTACACTGTATCTCACCAGAGACTCAAGATCCTGGATAATGTGTTAAAGCAAACCAGGCAACATGTTCACTGTACAATCTATAGGTCTTAAAAAAGCCATCTAAAGAAAGTATTTCAGTTCATTTGAGGGATTTCTGAGTATTATCAGGTGATGGGAAGAGAAGTATATCTTCTCCTGTAATTCTGAGAAACCAACCTGGGCAATGGTGGCTCTGATTTGGTCTGTTTGGCTGAGTTAAAAACCCTGTTAATACATGTAAATATAAAAAAAAAAAAAGTGTTTTGGGGCCGGTCCAGTGGCGCAGTGGTGAAGTGCACACATTCCGCTTCGGCAGCCCAGGGTTCAGTGGTTCAGATCCCAGGTGCGGACATGACATCACTTGGCAAGCCATGTTGTAGTAGGCGTCCCATATATAAAGCAGAGGAAGATGGGCACAGATGTTAGCTCAGGGCCAGTCTTCCTCAGCAAAAAGAGGAAGATTGGCAACACACGTTAGCTCAAGGCTAATCTTCCTTCAAAAAAAAAAGAGATAGTATTTGCTCTAAACTGTAACGTATAACCTAAGACTGAAATAACACTTCATGTACTTTTTTTTTTTTTTTTCTGCTGAGGAAGGTTAGCCCTGAGCTAACATCCATGCCAATCTTCTTCTATTTTGTACGTGGGTGGCTGCCACAGCATGGCTGACAAGTGGTATAAGTCTGCGCACAGGATCCGAACCCACAAACCTGGGCCACTGCCACTGCTCTGCCTGTGACCACTCCTACCTGAACCAGGGATCTCTCTGCTTCTGGCATGGCCCCTCTTCCCACAATCCGTTCACCAAATCTAAGCATGTGGCTCTCAGGCTTAAACTTTTCCAGCAGTTCTCTCCTACTCTGAGGATAAAGTCCAGACTCCTCAGTAATACCTTTCATAACCTGACTCCCGACCTTCCTCATTTCTCCACGTCTTCATTTCAGACTCCATGTTCCAGACTTTGCAGAACAAGCCACCACTCACTTGACCCCAGGCCTCTGCACCCTTTCCTTCCCCTAGTCCCACCCTTGCTTGGGTAACTGCTGTTCATCCTTCAGCTGGCACTTTAAATTTCTGGTTCCTCCCGTGTACATTGTTGCATTTGTCTGTTATGTAAGTTTCCCCCAAAAACCCAGGTACTCCTTGAGGTCAGGGCCTGTCATCTGTCTAACTCCTCACTCCTAAAGGGCACGCTCTATACATACATACACACACTAAACACACACAGAGGCAAATGGGGGAGATCTCAAAAGCTGGAGTTTGTCTAGCTGGAGGGGCGTCTGAGGAAGTCACTGCCTTCATCACCATTCTCCCTTACTTCTTGGGTAACCTGGAAAGAATCATCTCTGGAAAATATCAAAGCACTTTACCAGCAAAAAATACCAGTGGCTCTACCAGCCCTGATGGCCTACCGGTTAAAGTTCGGTGCTCACCACTTCAGTTCCCCAGTTCAGTTCCTCGGTTCCAGTCACGGAACCACACCACCCGTCTGTCAGCTGCCAAGGTTTGGGGGTGGGAGGGCTCACAAAGAAGAACTAGAATGTCTTGCAACTAGGATATACAACCATGTACCGGGGCTTTGGGGAGGGAAAAAAAAGGGGGGCGGGGAGGAGATTGGCAACAGATGTTAGATCAGGGAGAATCTTTCCCTGAAAAAAAAAGTTACAAGTATTTCTTCACTACCCTTTAAAAAAAAGAAAAAAAAGTGCCAGTGACTCCAGACAGGATTATGCTGGGATTGCTGCTGTATTTCAGGAGAGAAAACCTAGACCCTGAGAAAAGCAACAGGCCTGATCAGAACGAGAACCATCAAGGCTCTTCTGAGGGAGGTCCTACAGCCGTGCGTGTGGACAGGCTGAAGGGAAAAGTTAATTAATAGTAGCTCTTAATTACTAAGAGGTGAAGGTTCAGATTCGAGACTCATTTATAAAAGCTCTGGGACAACAGAAAAACATGCCCTGGATTTCCCAAACCCAAGGCAAGCGCCTAAGTTTAAGCGAATTCCACCCGCTCCCGCCACTTCCGAGAAGCATCTCTCCAACTCCATGGGAAAAGCCAGAGCTCCTGGAAAAAGCGTTGTTAAGCAAACAAAAAAGACGGCAACTAAAACTTGCTGAGCACCTAAAATGCGTAGGGCCCTTTAAAAACTTTATCTCACTTAATTCCCGCTACAGTTCTGATGTAGCAACTCATTTTACCGCGGAGGAAACTGAGGTCCAGAGAAACGGAGAACTTAATCCAAGATCACACAGCGAGTTAGAGGCAGAGTTCAAATCCGAAACCAAGTCTGGCCGCCCCCAGAGCCTACGCTTTCCGCTCTATCCCGGGGGCGAACACCTCTGTAGTGAAGGAGCAAAGCTACCTCCTCTGCGAAAAAGATGGGGCAGCAGCAGGAGAGACTCACCTAGGCACGAGCACAAAGCGTGAATAGGGTAGTGTGATCTCGGCTCAGTACTGCGCTCTGCTAGCGATCCAATGGGCCTCAGCTTCCGGGAACAGTGGGCGGCAAGTGGACCGGAAGGTCGAGGCAGGCATCAGGATTAAGTCCGACGGTCATGAAGAAGCTCCTCCCAGAGGAGGGACGGAGGCAGGGCATTCAGCGTCGCTCGCAGTGAGGGACCCCGCCTCTTAGCCCCGGGGAAGAACTCGGGGGGTTGGGTGGGATTTGGGTGGGAGCCAGACCTGCTAGGCTGCACCATCCCCTCCCCTGGGTGCTGGTGGTCCGACTGGCCGGAGCACGGACACACTTCCCCGCGCGGGTTTGGGGCACGTACCTGCAGAGCCAAGCCTGCGCCTGTGACCACGCGGTGGCCCGGGGGCGGGGCGGGCTGCCCCTCTGCTGGCCGACGGTGCGCCGCGCGGCGGCTGTGCTACTCTCGGCCGTTGGAGGGCCTGCTCCTGCCGGAGGAAGGAGGATCCCGAGTGCCACGTTGCGAGTTCTTGTGGTGTCCGGCTCCTTCCGGACTCACCACTTCAGGTCTAGCTCCGTTCTCTCCCGTAGAGTCGGGTTGGCTGGCTTCCCAGAATTTACCTAATCTGGCTCCGTTTTGGTCCTGCAAACTGAGGCCCAGAGAGCAGCCGCAACACAAAGGTTGACCCTAACAAGGACGGTGTGGGGTCTCCAGACTCCAGGACATAGAAAGTCTATGGTCTTTCTACCTGGACCGTGAACTCTGGCCGCGCATTTCTTTGCCAAGCACTGTACTAGGCTATAAACATGATTTTATTGAATCTTCACAACTCTGGAAGGAGGATGTTCTTTCCAATTTTATTTCCTGAAAGCCTTTTTATTGAAGTATAGCATACATACCAAAACCCCCCACACATATCTTAAACGTAGCGCTCTGTGATTCTTTTTGCAATGTAGCTACCATCCAAATGAAGACAGACCATACCAGCACACTGGACCCTCCTGCGAGCGAGTTAGGTATTCACATTTGTAGGGGAGGAAGACATTTCCTCTTCCCAAATGTGGGTTCCTCTGGCTGAAGAATGAATTAAATTCACATGAGACAGAATAGCAAGAGAAAATTAAACAAAGCTTTATGAGGAACCATGGCCCGGGGCCTTTCTTCCCAAACGAAGAAGGACACCGAAGAAGTGCGGTGCACAGATTGGTTATAGACCCCCAAACAGGGTGTTTCACATATGATTGAAATGTCCCTCCCACAATAGTCACAAGATTGCCCTGTCGGCACAGTGCTTGATGGACACAGCAGATAGTGGTCTGCTGTCTCAGAGGGGGTAGCCAAAGGCAAGTCTGTTGCTCAGGAGGCAAGTCTACTGTCTTGAGCCGGGTGGTCACAGGTGAGCTCAGCAATCAGTTCCTAGCCTAAGGAAAGATGCTTAACCCTTAAAGAAATGCCAAAGTTGGGAGGGGGAGGGAAGTCAACTACAGGAGGTTACCAGAAACAGGCACAATAAAATGCAGATTTAAGTCCTTGCCTTTGGTATTGATTAAGAGTCTCTACAGAGAAGGTCATCTCCTTTCTTCTTCCTGGTACAGAGACAGAGGCACCTTTTACAGATAGAGATTTACCTTACCAATGTAAACGTGTCCTAACAAAGGGCAAGTTCCATTCCTCAGAGCCTCCTTCCCTGTCCCAGTTTATCAAAAGCAATCAGCCTCAAATAATCCTGATGCCAAAGAGACATATCTTGGGGTGGCCAATTTCAGGTCCCTACACATTCCATTTTATAGATTGGACAGACTCAGCAAGGTAAAATAGCTTGTCCAAAGTCACACAGGTATTAAGTTACACATTTGAGATTTGAAATAGCCCTTGCCATTTGGGCTGAGAGATGTCCTGAGTTTGTGTTTTCCTTAGCGGGAGTTGGGAAGAAGCAGGTTTGTCCTGGTGTAGCTCAGCCTCTCGCCCCATACCTCGGTCTCCCCCGCCCCCCTCCACTCCCCCAGCCACTCTGCTCTTGTTTTACCATACCCCCTCCCCCCTTGCCCCGTTACTCTCCACTGTCTCCCCAACACAAGTGGTGTCCTGATAGACCAAGTGCCCGACGTTTCACACAAGATAGACTCATAAAGACATCTAAATTTCAGCTTATGTCATCAGAATTTAGAATCCCTCAAACAGCCCAGCGAAGATTTACCATCAATAGACACATGCTATGTACCCCGTCCCTCCCACCATCTTCTGCAGGGGCTGATGAACTCTCTGTATTTTTTTTTTTTTTTCCTGCTGAGTCTGGCTTCGTAAAAGTCTCAAGTGCAATAATTAAGCGGTGACCTTGCCAACTGACGAACTGCTGAGTCGTTGTAACCAGCCCCTTCCTTCCCCAGCTCTGGAGCTTTTGCTCTTAATTGCGGCCACAGGGATTGTTAAATGCAAGCCGCGACCCTGGCCCTCCAAGAGTTTTCAGGGCAACACTCGTCAAATTGATGGTGTATTGTTTTCTAAAACAGGTGGGCTTAAAAAGACACCACTCCTTTCACAATCATCTTCCCGTTTTACAAAAGACAGACCTTGCGGCCAGCTTCTCAGGTGCATTGCCCCAGTGTAAAAACCTTGAGGCCACTAAACAAAGGGACTCTTGGAAATACTGATGACTCTAATGACTGGATCGTAAACCCTTATGCAAGTCATTTCCAATTCTTTGTTTTGAAAAGTGTTGGTGAAGGCTGCTAGACCATTAAAAATAATTTTTGATGATAGATTTTGTGATTTGGGGCATATAACTTGGAAAGAGTTAAAACAATTAAATGACATTAATAAGACTTTTGTTTTCATCCACTTATTTATGTGAACAAGTTATGTCAGCTTGTATCTATACAAACGCAAACTGAGAGTGGAACTGATGTTGAACTCTATCCATCCTAAAAATAAGGAATATTCATGCACAGGTACAAGGTTTAAGTGGAAAAAAGAAAGAAGCCCCAGCCCATCTCATTTTTATGTCTAATAAGTGTCAAAATTTCTACCGTATGTTATTTTGATCAATTATGTAAAAATACTTGTACTTTTTAAACATGATCACAAATTTTTAAAAACTATATAAATTCATTTATATGTTTTGATTGCAGAAAAGGATGATAAAATTTTCAAGCCCCAGACTATATTCTATTAAGATAACATTCTCTGGGGAAATAGACTGAAAAACAAATTCAAGGAGAAAAATGAACGATATAAAATTAGCAGCTGTTGAGAAGAGCTTGTTTTGTTTAAATGGATGGTGGCGGGAATCAAATTGTTCTAGTATTTAGAATTAACTGGGTATATTTAAAGGAGGTTATTTTAAATATCGATATATACGTATGGTGAAAAATATATGATAGTGTTCATAGTTTTCAAAATGATTTGAGAGAGTAGTAGAGCAAAAAGTTTGAAGACTACAAATCCAGAGAGCGAGAATATTCTTTTTTTTTTAAGATTGTCACCTGAGCTAACAACTGTTGCCAGTGTTTTTTTTTTTCCTGCTTTTTCTCCCCAAATTCCCCCAGTACCTAGTTGTATATTTTAGTTGTGGGTCCTTCTAGTTGTGGCATGTGGGATGCCACCTCAACATGGCCTAATGAGCGGTGCCATGTCCGCACCCAGGATCCGAACCGGCGAAACCCTGGGCTGCTGAAGTGGAGCGGGCGAACTTAAGCACTCGGCCACGGGGCCGGCCCCAAGAATATTCTTAACTAGATGGAATTGGCTATTTCAAACCTCAGAGAAAGTGATACTGCACAAAATTGGGGTAATCTGCCCGATGCACATTGTAGGGGAGGTGGACATTTCCTCTCCCCAAATGGGGGTTCGTCTGGCCGGAGAACGAATTAAATTCACATGAGACAGAATAGCAAGAAAAAATTAAACAAAGCTTTATGAGGAACCATGGCCCGGGGCCTTTCTTCCCGAAGGAAGAAAGGGCACCGAAGAAGTGGGGTGCACAGAGTGGTTATATAGCCCCCAAATGGGGTGTTTCACATGTGATTGAAATGTCCCTTTTACAATAGTCACGAGGCCGCTCTGTCAGCACAGAACTCGATGGAAACGACAGATAGGTCCGCTGTCCCAAGGTGTGTGTGTTGCCTCGGGCTGGGGGGGGGGAGGGTCACAGATGAGCGCTGCAATCGGGTCCCAGACTAAAGAAAGATGCTTAATCCTTAAAGAAATGCCAAAGTTGGGAGGGGGAGGAAAGTCAGTTACAGGAGGTTACCAGACTAGCACAATAAAATGCAGATTTTAAGTCATTGCCTTTGGTATTGATTAAGAGTTTTTAGAGAGAACGTCATCTCCTTTTTTCTTCCTGGTACAGAGAGGGAGGCACATTTTACAGATAGAGATTTACCTTACAAATGTAAATATGTCCTAACAAAGGGCAAGTTCCATTCCTCAGAGCCTCCTTCCCTGTCCCAGTTTATCAAAAGCAATCAACCTCAAATAGTCCTGATACCAAAGAGACATATCTTGGGGTGGCCAATTCCAGGTCCCCACAACATAAACAAGCCAATTAATTATGGCATCAGCCTTTGGGGAGACAAATCAGCTTTTATTCTGCAAGACCGATCTGCAGGAAGGCAGGGGGCACATGCCCTCAGATCTGTCTCCCCAATTCAGGATTTCAGGTGAAATTTAAGAGGTTAGGGAGAACAGGCTGGCACATGGGAACGCTGGTGGGACACATTTTGATTGATGGGCTTCAAGCATTTATGGTAAGGTTTTAAACATTTATGATAGGATTCTAAACATTTATGATGGGGTTCTAAACTTTTTTTTTTTTTTTGAGGAAGATTAGCCCTGAGCTAACGTCTGCCAATTCTCCTCTTTTTGCTGAGGAAGACAGGCTCTGAGCTAACATCATGCCCATCTTCCTCTACTTTATATTTGGGACGCCTACCACAGCATGGCGTGCAAAGCAGTGCCATGTCCACACCCAGGATCTGAACCTGAGAACCCCGGGCCACCAAAGCAGAACGTGCGCACTTAACCGCTGCGCCACCGGGCCGGCCCCGCTAAACATTTTTGATGAGCTATGGAAGGAATTTTAACACCAGATCTTCCTGAATGAGGGACCCCTGGCTTCTGATAAGAGTCTGACTTTCAAGTTCCAGTCATGTCCCAGTCCTTGTGTTCCGTGGGGAGGAGGATCTTTGGTTCTGAGTTGGTTTCAAGTCACGATTTCTTCTTTTGCGCAAGCCCTGGCTACGTGACTTTGCAGTTTTTCTGAAAAACAATTCTTAATCAGTCTGTTGATAAGAGATGGGGTCAGTTGAACTGGTCCTGGAGGGCCTGCCATTAGCAAA